ATGCCTTTTATTGCTTGAATGTTAGGTCGCAATCTTCCGTCCAAACGAAATGAGTGGAATTCTTCATAATCTTGAAAAAAAGATGAACATCGTTTACCGAATTTTGGAAGAAACTTATTCAGGCCTACAATGCAACCAGTCATAATTTACACCTCTTTAAGGTTCCTTGGTGGAGACATCCAGGATTGCTTAAACTTTTTTTAGTTTTACTTTTATTCTTAGGGCGTGAGCAAGTACTCAACGAAATTTTTTGAACTCACTCCAAAAGTTTAATTGAGGGGGTTGAGCTTTAAGTTGAACTGTCTCAGAGTATTAAAGGTTTCTTTTAGGTCCTCTACATATTCTTCAAATGATTTGCTTGTAATGAGAAAATCATCAATATATACCTTAATATTCTTTCTTTTTAATTTTTTAAATACAATGTCCATAAATCACTGGTAATTAGCTCTAGTGTTTTCAAGCCAAATGACATTAAATTGTAATAAAAAAATCTCCTCTCTAGCAATGAAAACAATTTTTTCAGCGTACGCGAGGAGTGCATCTTGATCTGATGATATCCCGGAAAATGGGTTTAAAAAGCTCATAATTGAATGTCATGTGACTAAATCTATCATGGCATCGATCTGTGGCAGGGGTGGCTACACTTTAGGCAAATCGCATTCAAGTTGGTGAAGTTTACGCACATTCTCCACTTATCAATCTGGATATCGTACCTAGCGAATGAATTTAGAATCCAAAAGTTTTTAAACTTCTTGTCGGATAATTTCAGCCAAGGTGGTCGATACAATTTGCATTTTCCGTTTGATGAGTATGGTGTTGAGATTGACGTTGAGCGGATGGCAAGTGATGTCGATATCAACTCCCGACATTTCATACGCAATCCAGGCGAATATGTCACAGTGATCCCTCAAGGTTGAGATTAATTGCTCCCTATGCTCTTGGCTCAGGTTGGAGCTGACCTGGAATGTTTTTTCGCACTCCCCCTTGGAGATAGTACTCATTCGGTGGTCACAGTAGTCTCCAGACTGGTGCCTTTGTTTGAGTCGAGTTCGAAGAGATTCTTTTGTACATTTCACACAGCTCGCAGATAATATGTTCAACATTGGACTAGATCTCCTCGTACAATTATGATTTCTACTCTCCCAGTGAATTTTATCCCTACATGGTAGGTGAAAGTCACTGTTTGAATGTGTTAAGAGCACGATTCTACCAAAGATGTCATTGTAAGAAGTTGTGTGTTGACAACTATAAAATTCATCATGGTTGTATATTGCTTGTCTCATTCTTCCCAAGTTACTAGAAGGGAGAAAACTCTGCAAGTCTCTTTTCTCTTGCCTGAGAATCGATACAGTAAAGCGGAAGTAGGCTTTAGTTGAGCGTTCATCAAATTCAACTTCTCAAAAACCTTCCTAAGACGATGTTGACTAAACTCTCTATGTTAATCGAGATGTTTTTGATTTGGTGATTTGTCTATTACCACAGTCACGACAATAGTATCCTTAAAAGAATTCCTGTTGTCGGGTAGATTGGCCCCGGTGAAGGTGATTGGATGAATTGTG